ACTCTATACATTATGAACTAGTGTCATATCTCCATAAGCAGTTTATGTAAACCTTGGATTCTTCTGCCTGAACTGCTAAGACCACGTTGATATTCCCTCTGCATCAACCTCAGTTCTTCACTTTTCTCCAGTAAGTGACAAACTTTCAGAGAAAAGATACGGGAGCAGCTAAAATAAACATAACACTTACCCCACACACTGAAGAACGATGTATCGGGGGAAAAACCAACAACTTTTGGAAAAACATGCTTCCAGAAGAACATTCAAAAATACCTGAATCTGATAGACCCTACAGCCGACAAGAGTTTATTTCTACATTTGCTAGAATTTCAAAGTTTGAAGTAGCTTTATGATCAAGATTATGAGGAAAAGCTTTCGGACACTTTGCAAACATCATCCCTTTACTATACATCTACCACATTTTCAATTTCAGTTCTATTTATTGTAGCAAGATGTTGCTATCTTGTTTCATTTTCAGGCATATATATTAGGATGCAATCATCTGCAACATACCTCTAAGAACCGGAAAGGATTATAATGGCAAAACAACAATAATACGAAGCAGATTGGGAGCTGGAAGTCTTGGGTCCAATAACCAGTTCTGCAGTGGATTCTTACCAATGGAGAGAAATTCCCTGCTCTCATGCTTCAATTTATGCAGTTTTCTCCGTTTTAATATGCTTATGTTAGCGAAGATATTTCTGTAGAACTGAAATCCCAAACCCTGACTGATGAGCACATAGAAACTGGGAAATCAAAGCTTTTTTTTTTTTTAAAAAAAAAAAATAGCATACCTGTGATAAAAGAGTTAAAAGCACCTAAAAAATGTTGGAATGACTTAAACTGAAGTCAAAAGAGTGCTCTGTGCTGATCCAGCTGCTGATGGCTCTGCAGGAATATTCGAATCTCGCATTTTTCACAGCACCGGGATAGTGATCAGAACATACTTCTCCAGCTCTCTAGATTCACCACTTCGAAATGAAAGTCAAAAATCTACAGGAGGCAGCAATAAAATGAATTATTTTAAATTACCCATTGTTACTGTACCCAGTTGGTGAATAGAGCCAATCTGTGTAAGAAATGCTGTCACAGGAAACCCTGACTATTATCATTCAAAAGGACCCAAGAAGGGACCCAATGATGTTCTGCTAATAATTGTCCAGAGAGCAAACAGGCACTCGGTTCTGAGGGCTGAGGTCATCGAACACAAAGTGGGGAGGAAGCACTTTTACAATGAAACTTCAGAGTTACCACCTCTTGTTAGAGAACCCCAGTTAATAACTGCAGCTGATTACAGCCTTCATTAGCGTCATTCAGCATCCTGCTCAAAAACACAAACCTGGAACGAGATCGTCCTTCACACAGCTGAGCAAGAAAGGGTAAACCTGGTGGCCAAGAAGCCCTCTCTCATTAATAAAGGAAAGCTTGAGACCAAAAAGACACCAAAAAGAAATTAACTTTCTGAGACATTAGCTTTTTGACTTCTACTGCCCTGTGCAAGAATGCCGTGTTCTTTCTGCAAGCTCTTGGTATCTTCCTATCACCTTTCTCAGCAAAAAAGGAGTAGTTCCTTCGTTTAGATCTGGTCTGTAAATGTTTCATGTGACTACACATACATTGATCTAAAAATCAACATCAGAACACAAGAACAAACCCTAAGGAACACACACTTCGGAGCTCATCCAAAGCCCAGATTAATTATGGAAGGAATCGGAACTTGCTGGAAATTATTTTAAGAAATATTATACTTATTTAATCATATGTTTGTATTAAGGATATATATAATGAAACCCTTTATAAAAATGCTTTAGATATGCTAATAAACAGCACATAAGGGAGCCCTGAAAAAAAAAAAAAAAATCTGTCTGAGCAGTTTATTAATAATGCTCCTCTCATTCTTGCTCACTTACGGTGCCTTCCGAAAAGTGAAATAAGCTACTTTAACTTGAACTTGTCAATTTAACTCTGGCCTCTGCAGGCTAGATGGGAAAGCACATATTTACACACACTTAGCAAGCCAGCCAAACTACTATGATCATCTCGCAGCACAATACAGTGTAAAAAATCAATTACAACTCATGTACAATATCATAAAATTAAAATTTACAGTAATTACATCTTTGGGGGCTAATATTGTCATACTCTCTAGTAAACAGTACTTAATTCACAGGAAGACTGAAAACAACAGCTCATGTGAAGGAATGGATCTTGACTCTAAAAGCAAAAAAAAAAACAAAAAACAAAACAACCAACAACAAAAGCACCACAAATCAGAAAAATACAAGATACTCTCAGTCAGTCGCAGTGCATTTTTGAAGAGCTCTCACTTGAGTGAGGAATCAGTTCGTGGCTGGCAGTCAAAGCCCCTATTGTTCTGGGCTTTGCTCTTTTCAGTTGTCACACCCAGGCTGCCAGCCTCCCTGGAAATGAAGCATTTACAGAAGTAGCAGAGTTAACGAAGGGACCGAACGGAGAGCTAATTTATTCTCTGAGCTTACTGTACGTGGTGCAAAAACCAAACCTGCCGTGACGGCGGAGTGACCTTCTATTTACTGACTGACCAGATGGCGAGAGTTACTGACTTCTGGGAGCCTCCAGCCACCTCCACCATCTGACGGCTGTTTGGGGAAATCAAATCAAAGGTCTCCGTGCAGTCTTTAGCCTACAACCCTCAGCATCACAAGACCATTGTGTTGTGCCCTTAGAAGAACACGCTGCCGGGAAAGGCAAGGAGGGAACAGGACCCAAACCCTTGGATCCTCACTCAAAAAGGGGTTTTTCACGGCAGAACCGGGACACGTGAGAATAGAAGAGCGAGGAGGTTTGTGCACCTGCTGCCCAGGCCCTATCTCTTTTCCTAATGACTAAGTGAAGCCAGCCTCCAGGGCTGTCAATCTGGCACCTTTAGTAACTCACACAAGCGCAAAGTTCTCTAAAAATAAATAACATGAAAAGAAACGCAAGTTCTCTCACTAGCAGTGGTTTTGACAGGTATCTTGAATAATGTTAATTTTTCCACCTTTTTTTTTTTTTTTTTCCTCCCTTAAAAAAATACTAGTTGAATCACCAATTATTTTGGACAGTTTCTAAAAACAAGCACACATGGAAATAACCCAGTACATCGGATTGATGGCAATTGAAAAAAATTATACTAGAGGGGTGTGTGTTTGCATGCATGGACAGAACATTTTTATTTAAAAAATGGTATCAATGTGCAGCCCTAATTCTTGTCCCATTTCCACCAATGCAAATCAAGAGAAATTCCATTTGACTAAGCTCACTTACACTAATGGAGAAAAGGCACAAATTAAGTCAGAATCGTAAACTTGGTTCCTTGTATAAAATACAATGGGCCTGAAATTGTTTTACATCAGTTTTATCAATATGATTTTACTAGCAGCAGTGAAATAGCTCATCACATACAACAGGAAAAATAAGATCAAAATTAGGCTGGATGTATTTCCGAACAGCAAACCCCTATAACCTCAAGTCAGATCCTGAATGAAGACAGACAAGAAAGAAAAATACCAAGCCAGAAATGGTGTTTAGAACTGTATATTACTGAATGTTACTAATGTTTTTTTCAAAATTAAGATCTGGATCAAAATTTAGTTTACTAGTGTATGTTTTCTGTATAGTATGTACATATTTTATTAACACACACCAAAGAAGCAGTGGAATAGACGTTCTCTGTGAACAAAATCTGCTCTGGCATTAACAGAGTTATTCCCAGTTAATACAGGTCTGAGAAGCATATTTGAATCCCAGTATGGCATGCTTGCGGGTCTATAAAGAATAACTTTGGGGAAAAAAATAGCAATACAGCTTCTCATTGACTAGAAAGTTACCATTTCAGCTCTCAGAAAACCATTTGCAAATTTTACAATAGCTTGAGGATTCTTGCAAAACCCAAAATAGATACAAAGCTCGATCCCTTGCTGGTATGCAAAGCAGGAGAAAGAGGCCAGGAAGGGACTGGTAAAGTCAAGCAAAAAAAAAAAAAAAAAAAAAGCACAGGTTGAATGTCAGGGGGAAAAAAAACACTGAATGCTAAGAAGATAAAATAATGGAATAATTCTGCAGGAAGATAATATTTCCTGGCACGTTAAAACTGTCTGTTGGTAGAAAAAAGGGCTACTGGGAAAACATTCTTTCTCAAAGCAAAAACTTGACATTAATGTTGCAAAAGAAGGACTAAGCAAGATTTATGAACTGTTGTGTTCAGGCTTCTACTGAAAATTTAAAACACCTAGGACAGACTACTCTGTTCTTACAGCTAGTCACACTAGTGCATTAAGGGCTATTCTACATTCCTGTGTTGGTGCCACCTTAGCACAGCCCACAGAAGAAAAAAAAATAAAAGGCAACAAGCTGGAATAAGCCAAGAATGCAAAAAGGAGAGAATATCCTTCATCTTCATGCAGCTCCCATTCCCTGCTCACGCGCAACAGGTGCTCCATTTGTGCAAAACAGTTGTGCAAAGCATTTCCCACCCATAAAAAAATATTTACAGAAGATTGAACTAAGCTACAGAACCTCAACATCCACAGACCACCGCAAGTTTAAAGCAACCTTTGTTGACAATACAGTGCCAAATGCTTACACGATCTTATCAGACCTTCCCTTCCCCTCCTAAATTCATGCAGCGTTGTGTTTTTGTTTTTTTCTTTAAGAAACAACAGAAGATTGAACTAAGCTACAGAACCTCAACATCCACAGACCACCGCAAGTTTAAAGCAACCTTTGTTGACAATACAGTGCCAAATGCTTACACGATCTTATCAGACCTTCCCTTCCCCTCCTAAATTCATGCAGCGTTGTGTTTTTGTTTTTTTTTTTCTTTAAGAAACACGCTGTATTGCAGAGATGAAGGATGAGGATTTCCTCCTTTCCCCCAAACACATGCAGAGACACGTCCCCTCCAGCTCCTACAGGCAGAGACTTCCCAGTGCCCCAAAACCTCCCAACGGCGCGGCGTTGTGCGGGTGGCACGTGCTTACCTTGCTGGGGGGGACCAGGGACGCCAGATTCGTTCTCCCCCATTTCTAGATCACAATAAACTCCCCCCCTGGTAAGGACCCAAGCCGTTTGATCAAGTTGACTCGGTTGCTGTGCAAGTTTTGACCTCCTGACTTTCGACTGCGGCGCGGTAACCGTATACCTGACTTTCTTCTGTGAATAATTAGTACCCTGCTTCCCCAGCTACCTGGGCTGGCCTGACCTGTTTCTCTATAAACTGACATCATATCCTTTGATCTCCTTCGATTACCATGTGCTTCAGGGCAAGGCTGCTTTGTCTCCTCTTGGACTCTCCCACCCTTTCCTTTCGCTTTCACGCAGACAAGGATCTGAAGACTATTTTCTCTTTCCCCGGCAGGTGTTTTAGTCAAAATGCCAACGGTGAGTTTGCAACTGATTTTAAAGATATTCTGAATTTGCATTTCATAGGGAAACTAAACGGTAACTATCAAGCCAATCTCTGTGGGAAGGGAACTCTGAGCCCCAGCTCTCCTCCCGGGAGAGGGATGATCCCGCAGATGCGGTGCCCTTTGGCAAAAGGAACCCCAAACCCAACCCACCCATCCCCTCTCTTTCACAAAGATCACCTCCAAGAAAATGTTTTACTTGAACATTGTCCTTTTGAGACCGTTTTGACCGTGTAACAGAAAGGGCTTAGCAATAAAACAAAATGTTATTTTTTTCCTCTCCCCCTCCTTCTCCAGCACAAAGACACAAACTGTTCAGATAATCTTATCCAGCCAGACTTCAAGTTGAGTTCTAAGAAAATATTTGTTCTTTTCTGCTGTGGAGATGAAATGGCAGGTGTCTGATACATTCATGATCAATGTGTTGAACAAGTACACCTGCCAGCTGCAAAGTTCATTCTATTTTAACATTTACATTTGCAATGGCTAATGATAAAAATCAAAGCGAAGCCACAGCACTATTTTATAGGAACAAACAATGACGAACTAAAAGACCTAAATCCCAACGTTGACCTCCAGCTGCACTACGCTGGAAGTGGTGTAACCAATAGCATCAGAAATTTGTGATTTAGTGCTGAGTTTCTATATTCAAACAAGCTTGAGTTGCTCTATATGTAAAAGGACATAATTAAGAAAAACAAGTTTATTTATTAATGAAGTTGTGCACCGCTAAGCAAAATTTATCTGGTAATTTAACTGATGAGACAGAAACATCTGAAGCATTTCTGTCCTCTCTAAACACAAACTCTCCGTCACTTAAAAAACACAAATCTTTAAATAACCTACATTATTATAACTTCTAAACACGGGAGAAAACATAATTATTAGTTTTTACCCTCAATACTGTATTCTGTGATGTCCTCCCCTATATAAAGAGAGATAATAATTCCAAACAAATCACAAGTCTAAGGCAACAAAAATAACTATTCTTCTTAGCTACTGAGTACCACACTCTCCTTAAAGAGTAAGATTCTGATTTGAGGCTTTTAGCACCTACCAAAGTATTTTGTAGTTTTAAGTTCTAGCATTTTCTCACATCACCTTCTGTTAACTCTTAAATATTTTTAAGAATTCAAGAGATGAGAGTGATAGCACTGAAAATACTTCTTCCTTTGAAACGAAGCCTGCAAAGTGGGAATAGCGCAAAAAGGACTGAAACTCAAGATTTTTCACACTCCCTCTCTTCCAACAAGGACTGATGGTGAGAAATGGCTGGCTTGGGTTTATCTTCCCCTAAAACTGCTTGTTGTGCTCACGTGTGTGCGATGATTTAAACGGCGTGCTCTGCAAAGGAGGAACTCTTAATCCATCCACATTCTCTAGAAAGACCCAAATGTGAAAATGCAGTGGTTTTGTTCTGCTCCCAGAAAAACCAAGAAAAAGTTACTCTACATATTTACCGAACAGTAACTACAATGTTTCTTGATTCTAAGGAGTGCATTTGTCAGGCAGACAATGAATGGGAATATAATTTGATGATGACAGTGATCAGTTCTACAAGAGAAAACAGATCTCATGCTGTGCATCGAGTCACATCAAAGAGATCCCTGCTTCGTACTGCGACTGTCACGGATGACTCTGAGCCTAAGTTTAATGTCATTAGAAATAGAGTGCTCTTCACCAACAGTGTCAAGATTTGCCAGAGGATATGAACATTATCACAAGTTTTTTAGGGTAGCCCTGCACACCTACAGAAAGGCCCTCACAACTGAAAGCCTTCCAAACAGCACAGGCTTCCTGTAAGTGCTGGCCAAAACGCTTTCAGATTCTCATTTCTACTCAAGAATTTAGATATTTTATAGAATTAATGCAAAAAAAAAAAAAAAAAAAGTACTATCAACAGCTAACAGCTGCTGTCATTCTTTGCCAGCGGGAATTAGAAGCCCGAGGGAGTTGTTTTTTTTTTTAAAAAAGGACATTGGATGCTTTTATTAAACAAAAATTTAAATATTTTATAGAATAAAAAAAAAAAAAAAAAAAAAAAGTACTATCAACAGCTAACAGCTGCTGTCATTCTTTATTGGTAACATGTTTCAAACTCCCAAGTGTATTATACATACTCTAAAAACGTAACAAAACGACGCATCAGGGGTTTATTTTTCCCTAAAGAATATAATTTCAATGTTTCAAAAACATGAATAATGAGGTATAACTATTACATGTAAAATTGCACAGATGATACAAATCCTATCTAGAACTGAACTGTAAGCACCAGGAATACGCAGAGCTCTTCTACATAAATGGCTACGATGAGTCTGATCCAGGCTCCGTGAACACGTAGGAGTTGATAACTAAGTGTTTTAAAGTTTATCACAAGAGAAAAGGAGTCCACAAAGTGCCTTGGACTAAACACCTGTGACAGAGTGACGTTTTTCACAGGAAAAAATGACAACTCTTTCACCTTCAACAATGGCAGGAGTTCTAGGAGAAAAGGGACAGTGCACACAATACCAGAGGGGCAGAGACACTGATGTTCAGGTTTTTATACTGCTGGTGTTTGGGGTGGTTTTGGTTACTGTTAGTGATTATTTGTTTGTTTGTTTTGAAGAGCAACACGGTTATTTTATTTTTCCAGGGAAAATGGCACAGTAAAAGGAACGGCATTGTTTGGTTAGCCTCCAAATAACAAGCAGTTGTTTAGCCTTCAAACTCAATTAAAATAGGAAATGGGGAAAAAATATATTTTCTTCTACAGTTAAAAGGGATTAAATACAAAACCAAGGATAACCAGTCTAAAAAACCACAGTGAAACAGGTTTTCAGTGTTTATGCAAATGATGCACTAACGAAGGGGCAGCTGAGTGCCAGCAGGGACAAGACTGAGCCCAACTTACTGAAATGGGGTGTTCACAAGGACTTGAAATTAAATTTCTTTCCTTTCTCCAACAAAGAAGGCTGACCAGTGAGTAAAACCCAAGAAAGACTTACTCCTTCTGGATGAGATTCTCATCCCACATCCCTCTGCCTTGTCCGAGTTTTATTTCCAAGCCTAGTTGGTGCAAACAGTTTTTCACCAGTTACAAAGATTCTCTGGTATAAATCAGACACAAACATCACCACTTTGGAGCTTAATGGGAAACAAAGTATATTTGTTCTCATTTATTTCTAAGCACTAATTACAGCTCGTTACAATTTTTTGTCAGAAAACTACTTGTCATCAGAAGAATATCATTTTGTAGAAATAAATGATTTTATGGTCCAAAGAATTAGCTTTAATCAGCCTTCAATTAAGAAAGTATTATAGGTTCAAAAATGGTTTTGGGTTTTGCTTGGGGTTTTTGTTGATTTTTTGTTTGGGTTTTTGTTTTGGGAGGGGGGAGTTTGCTGGGGGAGGGGAGGTTGTAGGGTTTTTCACTGGTTGGTTTGGGGTTTTTTTGGTGGGATTTTTTTATTTTATTTTATTTTTTTAAGGAGACCAGAAAAGGCTCCAAACTACTACATTGCAACTCACAACATACTAATGTGGACTGAACAGAACCAAGATTCAGGTGTTCAAGACCCAACAGAAGGTGTTTTACCCTCTTGGCCACTTTGTTGGAGGATTGCTGCACGAGGAGCAATCTCATTTTTCAAAAGCACATCCAGCCAAAGGAATTTATTAGTATGCAGAAGAAAACAGGAGTTGAAAACATCCGTGGAGTTCTCGTTATTTCTTGTTGTTTTGTTAATAATGCATCCATTACTTTTCACATTACCTGAATTATGGACAATTGTTCTGTCTCTCCAGAACAAATGTAACACAGTAGAGGGGGATCTAAGGCTACAGTGCAATTTGTGACCCCATTCAATAGCTTTATGGCCATAAGGAAACAACTCCATGTCCCTCTCCGCTCTCAAAGTCCCGATTTGAAAAGCTGAAACACCACCACTTTGACAGCTTTCCCCAACAGAGGTATTTTTCCCTCCCCAGAAAAGAGATGCTTTGTCAAAATATCGTTGCTGAAGTTTCTTTAAATAACTTTTTCCAATCAGTTCCTGCTCCTCAGTTTCCGTGTACTCAGCTTTAGCAACCAAACCTCAAAAATAAATGTTAGCAATCAAAATCAGCAATGACCTCCTGATTCACTTCTAGTGTTTTTAGACTTCCTACTTAATGAAAATATAGATGAGTCTGTAGAAAATAAATAACAACTCAAGCTGACTTCAGCAGCTGAAAGATGAGTGCAGAGAAGCCAAAGCTACAGACACACTAGTACAAAGTCAGTTTGTAAAAGACATAAAAAAGAAAGAATTAGCTTCTCCTTTTTTTCTTCTAATTTGGTCTTTTTGGTATTAAACAAAATCAAATTAGCAAACAAGTCTAAAGAACTGCTGCATGGAGAATGACACTTCATAATCTGGGCCTGCATATAACAGTAATGCAGCGGATAAAACATCTAGTAAAAAGGGTAACAGTTTCCCTGCCCTTCAATCCACTTGATTATTTATAAAAGCAGCGGAATTAAACAAGTGCTTTTTAAACATGCTGTTTGTTTTCCTTAAAAATCTCTCCATGATTTATTTCTGCCTCCCCTACTTTTGATGGATCTTGTAGTTATAATTGAAAGCAAAGGAGAAGTTGAATGACAAAAGTAAGCAGCTTAAAAAAAGGAGAGCAAAAGAGTGAGGGCATGAAAAATGTTTTTCTAATATTCATTGGCAAGAGAGCTAATGCCAGAAATTCTAATACTGACTCCATCTTGCACAACTAAGAAGTAAATCTTACTGCTCTGAGATCACATTAGGAAGCAGAGTCTAAAAATCTGATAGAGGGAATTAAAAGCTGATCAGCTTGAAAAAAAAAATTGCACTTTTTAATCCTTACTCTGCCCTTTTAGAGAAAACGCTTCTTTAACACACTTTAATGGGCGACCTTGCCTTTAGATTTCAGCGAGATGAACACGTCTCCAGCACATCGAGTACAGCTGGGAAGTGTTGTGGTTTAAGTAGGTCAGTTTGCATTCCAGCCACAGATGTAAGCTTTATAGCAAATATACTGTATAAAATACAGTCATTTAACACAGAGATGGATCTTTGAGCCAATGAGGACTTGGACTCTGAAGTATCTTCTACCCCAGCAAATACAGAGGAGCCAGGAAGAATCTTACAGGGGCATCTTCAACCACTAAAGTTTGTTCCAACAGAAGAGCTTTAAAAAATATATATGTCTATAGAAAGATATATATATATATATGTATGTATATCTCATAAAGGATCATCTTGTGGGTGGGTGTGATGTGGTGGGGTGTTGTGGGTTTTGTTTTGTTGTGTTTTGGTATTTTGAGGGGTTTTTTTGTTTTTTTGAGGTTGGACTTGATCTCAGAGGTCCCTTCCAACCATGGTGACTCTGTAAAGAAGCAATACTATGCTACAAATTACCTCACTTTGTGGGACTGCCACATACAGTGGGACAGCCATTCCTGAAACGTCACGAGTTAGAACAAAACTCAGCTTTGTCATCTCACCAACCAGGCTGAGCCGTGAGTCTCTGCACAGGAAGGCTGACAAAGGCTTTTGTACACACAAATGAGTGGGTATATTGACAAAAAGCTGTCACTAAAATGATATTCCTACACCATTTTATTGCTTCCATAGCCAGTAGACTTGCTGCCTCCTTGTGTCAGGTGTGGTCTTCTTCTGAAGATAAATAAACTAATTCCTAACTGATCCCACGGTTTCGCCAGCAGAAAGCAACCTACTTTTTCCTATCACTTCTCAGTTTTCTGTTACTTAAAAAAAAATGTTAATCAGCCCACAAAGGAGCACAGAACATGGGAAGATGACAGCTTTTTTTGGTGCTGACAAGCTGTCAGGTGAGCTCAGCCTCCTCCATCCAGCTGCACCATGCCCTATGCACGTACACACGCAGCCCAAGTTCAGCAGACCCGTAATTCACCATCTCCTCCTCTCCAGTGAGATACTTTCACATCACATCTGCTTACAGCCCTCTGCAGATAAAGCACATCTCATTAGTTTTTAACAGCTACTCTGCAAAATCAGACCATACAAACCGAGGCTCCAATTCTGGCCGGGCACACCGTCTTTGACAGCAACACATTTGATTCTGCTTCAGACAGAATAAATTCTTCCTTTTTCCCAAAACTAGTTAAGCTCAATTATGTACTATAAGGAACTCTCTATAGAAAGCATTTCTAGTATGGAATAACACTCTTCATTGCTGTTTGCCTCTCTGAATTATCTATGCAATACTCCTAAAAAACAGAATGAGCTATATTTTGCTAGAGAGCATAAAGGCAGCAAAATCTTATACTCTCCAACTGAGAAAAAAAAAAGAAAAAAAAAAGATAAATGACTTTTATATTAGCATTGTTTTCCATTTCTCCCCAAATCTGTAATAAAGTTTTATTTTTCCCAATTCCAGTTGCAGCGGAGCACTCCTGGAAAACACAGCTGTTGGCTTTGTATTTACTAGTGTGCAGTTATTGCATTGCTTAATATATTTTCACATTTTTTTTGTTTTAATACAAAAGCAACATAGGAAATGAGATCTCAAACACACTACCTGAGCCCCTTTTTCCCTGCTTACACACCATGCACTTGTTTCACATGCTTTAATCAACAAATTGTCTCCGTATCTCAGGCAGGGCATTATGTAAGGCAAATAAAACAGCAGAGAAGCCAAAATGAAGGGTGAGACATTAATTCTGTGTTAATAATTAAAAAAAAGAATCAGAATCTCAAGTAATGCTCATGGTACACAAAAAAAAAAAAAAAAAAAAAAAAAAAAAAAAAATAATCTTTAACTCTTGTCTGCTCTGGATTGATTTTTCAATGACTTTCTACGTGAGTCCTGTAAGAAAAGCAAAAGCCCAATAGAAATTACTACAGTATGAGGCAGTAGAAGAAATCTAAAGAAAGTGTCAAAACTGGCTCATTTAAAACATCATTTTAAAGCACAATTTGCATAGTTTAAGTTTTCTTAACTGATGTTCCAATGCAATCAATGTGTTACCGATTACAGGTACTGAAGTTTCATAAGCCACCAGCAGGTAGGTATTCCAACAGAAAGCTGAAAACTTTTAATATATTCTACCTGCATTCTTTACAAAATGGCCACACAATCATTTAAAGTTTAAAATTCTGTAATTTGGTTGTAAATAAAAGAATATTTCTGGTAACACTGCAGAAATTGCCCTGACTTTTTTCAACAGCGCTGCACTGTATAGACAGAGAAACTACCATAAACTACCATAAATCTTTTTTAAAATCTTATTGATCCTTACTTATTTTCTTGGTTCAATTATAATAATTTTTAAGGTATTTTGCTGTCTTAGAACCTATTTTAGGGGAGTAAATAGCCAATAATTTGCACATCTTGGACGTGAACACAGCTTCATAAATCTTAAATTTGTAATTTTTTTTCCTTCATTGATACAGTGGATTAAAGCAAAACTTCAACGGCTTGGATGCACAGTCCTAGTGCAGTACGTGGTTCCTTCAATCACAGCTGCTATATTTAAGTTATTACAATTATTTCAGCAGACACTTAAAGGTGCAGATGATGGGAAAGAGCAATCTTACCTACGGCCCCAAGATGCCCTTAAGAGCACAAGTCACCAGGAAACACAGTCCAGAGCCGTTTGCCCAAACTTTGCCATGAATCATCACAAGCTACAAAACATTTCTCAATACCCTGTAGCAAACTTGGGGCACGTAATGTAAGTATAAACCATTAAAAAGATAAATAGTAAGTCAGAAGCTACAGTTTACAACTTGAAGAATGAAGGAGAAAGACCCATTCTGTTAATGACAATCGCCTCAAGGCTTTGGCTAGACAAATTGAAACGTTTCCAACCTTTCACCTGATTTTCTGAGTATCTCCAGTTACAAGGAAGTCACTCCACACAGCGGCTGTTGTGCCTCTGGGTTTGCACGGGGACACGGAGAGAAAACAGACTCCGCAGAAAAAAGTTAGAGGAAAACACTGATTTTTGTCTAGATTATTCCCAGACTGATAATTATGAAGTGGCCAGTAAAAATAACGGATTTCTTTGCAGCTTCCATCAAAACACTTCCATACCACCCCTCTGTATTTTGACAGCTGGTGGGGTTTCACAGTCTGCCAAACGCTCTAAAACGTTTCAGACTTTACAATGACCATTAACAAAAACACCGAACTCAAAAACAAAATAATGGAAGCAAGTGATTTGCAAAGGGCAATTGCTCTTACTACTAGGAGATCTACTACTTTTAAGAACTCCTTAAGTGATACAACTGCAGGTATGTACACATTAACCTCCCTTTTGCCTGGTGGAAGAAACAGGCGGAAAATGCCTTGGTAGATCTCAGTTCCAACAATTCAACACAAGAACCTAAGCTGTTTCCTACAGCTTTGACCTTACCATTAGGCACCAAAACTGTTCCTGAAAGCCAAACGGGCTAAGAAAATGGCAATATCAAAACTGTGCAGCCTACTGGATTGTGCAACCTGGCTCTAATAAGCATCTCCATAAAAAATAAGAAAAAAAGCTTACTAGTTCAATACTCATTTGACGATAACCATCTCCACGTGGTCATGTCCATCCACTTTACCATAAAGGCCTCCTAGAGAAGACCAAGCTAACGAAGGTCACCCTTCATCTCCCTACCAAAGCACTCTGCCTATACAATTACTCTGCAGCAGAAAGACAGGTCTCCAGCTCATATTCATCCACCAGTATTCAAAATTCACTTGAATTGTTGTAAGAACAACTTGTACAAGGTCAATTCTGTCACACTCCTCAGCGCGCACACGGTTCCCAGGGCCTGGCATTATACCGCTGTAGGAAGGGCAACGGAGTGGATGTGTCACTTCAGAACTGGCTTTCAACCACAAAAAAAAAAAAGGCCATCTTCTCAAGGTTGCAATTATAACACAAACATCATCCTTCAGCATTGAGCATATTGATGGTCATGT